AGACGGGCTGTTAAACCGAAAAAGTCCACTATCAGTGTCAAAACATTCACGCGAAAATCTCCGTCACTACACCTACCTACTGAGGGGGATAAGGTAGATATCGTTGTTCGTAGGGTTCTACTGTTGTCATATATTAGAATGGAAGTTTTTGTCGTCAGTGTTTGTCATGCTGGAGACTTCCGAACTCGAAGACGTGAACACTTGAGAACTGTGTACTCCAGCATATGGTTACAGAAAACGTGTTTTGCTTCTCTTTCGGTAAATTCAAGGACTGCGTTTCTACTGAGACTTCACTCGCCCGAAATTACTGTCTAAGTTCGATCAGATCAACCAAGGCGTCTTAAAAGTCAGTGACACACCAACGTGGACAAAGGAGAACAGAACAAAAGGAAAACTTGCGTCCTCTTTCCTTATTTACTGCGCATTCGAGTTTGCTCTGTCCCAGTAGTTAGGGTAACGCAGGAAGCCAATAGGCTGTATTGACAGCTGGTCTTTCAGTAATCGACCCCCACTTAGCGTCCATCTTTAAAACACCAGAAATTCGCGGAGTCCGCTTTCACTCTATCCGTCTGAAGCAATTTTTGTCACTTTTAACAGGCGGAATTGGCCTTCGGGAGGATATAAGATCGTCTGGAGACAGGTAAGTTCAGTGGTGTCAGTGGTTCAAGCGGTCATACAGATGCAAAAATCACACCATAAAGAGCCATTGTTTGGCCAAAAACTCAATGCACTGAGAGACCGAGGGAGAACAGTACATATGTCAGAATGACTGTTATGCTCAAGGACGAAACAGATGGTATTGAGTAGAAACATTTTGAAACCGAACAAACCGCCCACGAGGGAAGCAGCTCTACCAGTGACACGAAAGACGTTAGCCCCGACCGTCAGCCACATTTCGACTTGCAACACTTGAAATGGAGACGTTGGCGCGTCATCAGCGGATTCTAAGTAAGATCCCCACGTTATCTCTCCGTTCCTTCAAATAATCTTAAAGTTTGATGTGAAAAGTAAAATAACTTGCGGCAACTACTCCAGGACATGAGATTTTAGGTTCATTATTCCTCCACACACTTAAATATCTCTATCAAGGACTAATACTACCAACGGCACTAATGATATGTAAAAAACCGGATTGTTCGTATTCCACCCTATGTGATGATTAACACTAAAAATAGCCGTTCAAAACACAGTCGCCGGTAGCTGAATGAGCAGAGAATTTGTGTCGGCTACCCAATGACCAGGGGTCGAACTCAAACGGCGGGTCTCCCACGCCTGATGTTGAGCTCTGATAGGCTGAAAAAGGTTCAAAATAAGAAATTCCCCGTTCAGTCTCCCCTTTCTTCGCGCGCAACGCATTCAGTGGACAAAAGTTTCATCCTTGCCAGCTCCAGCACTATGTAGCGCTACTTTTTTGAATCACAAGTCATACCATTCTAATTCCATCCTTGGGCTCTGGCTACCTGGGAGGCTGACTCGATTAGGCTTCTACCTGGAGTATAGTGACAGCAAATTGAACATTAGACCAATTCACTGTCCCCCGGACGACCGGACGCCCCTCAGGCCATGTGTTCCTGCGCTGCAAGCTCGTAACGCGGATGGCGCTGAAAAGTTGTAAGCATATCACAACTCTTACAGGCATGACTCCGAGTCCGATTCCCCAGACGGTCTAAACTTGGGGAGTGAGTACGGGTAAAGGAGACGGAGGCCGGGGCATTCTAAATGGTCGCACCAGTCAAATTTCTCTTTACTGACGTCTATTTAACATATCCTTATTTTCCAGGTAGTTCATAAATGATACATTAAATGAAACTCGGAGTAAAAGTCAGCATCTCATATTCAGGTTGCCAAATTTCGACAAAAGCTATGGTTTCTACCGCATGTTTAGAGGTGTAAACATTCCGATACAATGCTGAGAGCGTACATTTGGGTGGCATTCGCTAGTCCATGGTAGACCACAACTCACTGGAGAGCGATTACTTTGATGAGCACATAGGCTATTCTACCTCCCAAGGATGCTGGGATGCGATCAGTACTGTTTACTTTGAAATGGCAAACCTGCGTAACCTCTCACAGTAGTTGATGGGGGGTCTGCCAGTGAATGCCACGACATCGTGGAGACTGGGGGCAGTCTGGTTCCGGCAGAAGGCTTGTTTATATTCGCCGGAATAGGTCCCAGATGGACAAAACTAAAACCGCGCAATTTATGATGAACAACGCTGATTTGTTGTTCTTTTTTAAATGTTGCGATTGATCTGTAACAGGCTACGCACAGAGATTACATTGGTTTGCGACCAGACTTAATGCGTCAACACTCATTAGCGACTGATGTCGGCGACAAACGTGCAATTTCTGACAGGTCTGCTATTAAGAGCGTCTTAACAAATTTTGCCTTTAAATTTAGATAGAGTGTCACCCAAATCAAAGAGGATGTGGGCATGAAAGCTTTTTCTTCGGTAGAAGACGAATGACCATATTCTGCCTGGGCATTCTCCAACACCCGCTTAAGCTTCCTAAACTCGTTCCACATTGAAACAACGTTTGTGTCATCCACATACACGAGCCTAGGTTGCACTTCATTCCTAGAAATGATACTTTCGTTCAGCAGTTGAATTATGAAGTCGGCCGATTAGATTAATGGGGGGTGTGGACAATGTTTGGGAGCAAGTGATCATACTCGGGCTGAGATCATCCGCAGACAGTTTAAGTCTCGCGAACAAAGTCTGCGCGAGGCTCTTACTCGGTGCACTTCGGACCTGAGTAGACGACATCATTTTTAAGCGGGCATCAGAAAGGTTATTACGCGGGCCAGTAATATTAAAGTGCTGCCATCCAGTGTAAAAATAAATCCCGCGAAAAGGTTCAATCTAAATCAACCTTAAACACTGTCTCAAGAGGTCACACAGCAATCACGAGCACTGACTCCCATAAGGTAACAATCGGGAGATGGCACCCAAAAAAATCCGCCTAACCAAAGCAGCCTGTCTTACGGGACAGGTGGTAATAGGGGTTTTATGGGTGGTGGCTGGTCGGGATGTACGATACTAACCGACGGAATGCCTTATTTGAACAGGTGAATGATCGAAGTTGGCCCGCTCTCCGTTCCCTTATTACAAAATGGGTCGCCAAAGGCAATTTAGTGGTAACGGTCGAGTGGAAGGCGTATAATCGTCTGCCCTCAGAAGGTTATCTACATTTCTCTGTTAACCACTCAAAGAACTTCAAGGATCCTACCACCGGACGGCACACCAATGCCATTGAGGCCCACTGGAGTAGACTGAATAGGAAGCTCCACAAGGGAGGCCCTGTACGTGGTCGAGCTCTGTGGGCTCCCATAGACGGAGTACAGCATCGTCTTTGGTTTGGCCTCAATGCCATGCCTTTGACAGATGCCTGGAAACTGTTCCTGTCCCATGTTTTGCAGACTTATCCTATTTAAAAGTGATTTTGTTTTGTAATAAACTGCCATAATGCGAATGTATGCCGTATATCCAGGTGTACGTGTGTAACGATGGGGAAGGTTGGGTAACAGCGACCATCGTCCATGTAACCTCCTGCAATGTTCGTTCGGCCAGCCCATGTTGGGCCGTCGGGGAAAGTCCAAGTAGTGCGTGAAAGTAGACCTGCAACCGCTGATATAGCCTGAAGGCGTTTGAGTCCGCTGTTAAAGGTATTATTTCTAGGTAACGGATTTTTTTGGGTGCCATCTCCCGATTGTTACCTCCCATGAAATTAATGAATATTCTTACACATTCTACAACGACGCATTTCAGTAGCTGGGTTCTGATATGGGAAAACCGAGTTAGCACCGACACATTTACGAGCGATATCATCAAATTAGAAATTTCCAATGATGTATACGCGTAAGCTAATGCCTTCGTTTCAGGGACGGGGTAGGCCTGTTCGTGCTCCAACGTACCAGAAGGTGTTACTCAGATTTTTGAACGCATCAGCTCTGACATTTAAAGTCAACCCCCACCTTAATGTATTTTAAATAGAGGCTTATGGCAAACGGAAGCGTTTTAATCAGTCTGGAAGTAGATGATTGTTGAAGATGTCATCGCATTCTTCCTTTTTAGAAGTGGTTGTTAGGTACTCCTATCGGGTTTGCTTTACATAAATTATTACTATAGAGTGCTTAGCCAGGTCATATAAAACAACGCATCGAGAAGAGCCCTTTGGGCGCGTCGTTTAATGACTGAGAATAATATAATCCGGAAAGCATTCTAGTCAACGAATAGGACGTGTGCAAATGCGTTTTACTTTGCGATTAACGGCCACTTTTGACTGCAAAGTATGAAGGACTCCCGTTTCAGTGGAAATGTGGGTGCGGTATTATTTACCAGAAGACGACGACGGAAAAGCCTCTGCGTGAAATATTTCCAGCAGGTAGTTGCGTCAGAAAAAACACCCACGCACCTGGCAGCGTAGATCAGATGGGATAAGGGTCAACCTATCATTGTTAAACTTAGAAAGTGCCATTTTTCGCAATCGAACGGAAAATAAAAGCATAAAGGGTCTGGGACAAGGAATATTCTACAGAATAAAACACACTTTTGAATGCAGGGACATGGGTAAGTCTTTTTGTATACCGAAGGCAACCTAATATCCCCTCTCAAACTAACTGCCATATTTCAACACTGTGCGTGCATAACTTATGACAGCACCCATTTTCCTGCGTTTAAACCTGCGGCGGTAGATTTAAGGACCACAATCTATTCAAAAACGTTTTCTTAACCCATAGAATCCTTCCCTATTATGCTGTAATTTATAGTCCTACCGAATGTGGCGTATCCTTGGACTCTGTGCAATTCCTTTTTCGGAAATTCAGGTCACATGAAGTAGTCTTTGGCATAAAACATCACGTCCTCGACAGGCCCCTAAAAGGCAAAAAACCCCGGACAAGCTGCACGCCTTCATCCCCTCTGTGCACGCACGAACTTGACGTGATCAATCGTCATGTTTCTCCTCCTCCTCCCGCCGGTAATGTGTGTATGCGCATTATGGCCATCTGCGCGCGTCCAGCCCTCGATTCGCCCGCCAAGGTCATCCGACGCGCTCCCTGTACACCGATTGGCCTTGCATGGCTTCGCCATTCGCCCACATTGCGGAGCAAGTGTAGCACCACCACCACCGCCGCCGCCGCCGCCGCCGCCGCCGCCACCGCCTCCAACGAGCGCAGACACGCGCGCGAAACGGCTTTTTCTACCGGAACAGCCAGCCGCCCGCCAAAAAGGGTGCTGTCGTTGGTGCCGTTGCTATTACTGCTGATAATGTTGCTGATCACTGTTACCGAAGCTGATCGCACGCTGAGGTTCGGGCCTCCGCGAGGGATTTTTGCGCGCGACGTAGGGCCTCGGACGGCCGCCATTGGAAAATGCCGGCCAATAATTTTATGCGAACAGAAGTTGCCATGCCGTGCCTGGTTGTAAACTTTTCTGGGAGGCAACGTAAACGCATACTTCCCGATTGTGATTCGGGGTAAGTAGTGCTCGAGGCGTCTGGCATTCTTGCTGTTATGCCTGAAGGAATAAGTCGCAATAGGAAAAAAAATATTGTTTGCTCCAGGCATATGTCAATCCCATAAAACGTACTATTTCAGCGCTGGCTTGGCCTTGTTGCAATAAACTCATGTTTATTTTGTGACAATGCAGTAGAGGCGCCAAACATGTTTAGAACGCTTATCTGCGATTAAAGTTAGCACTATGTTTTACCTGTTTCACGACAATTTGGCCGATTGCTGTGCAGTATGAAAGCATTCGTTTTTCATACACGCTCTTTAGAGTAGAAGATGAATTTTTTATCATGTAATAATTAATTATTGAATTCCCATACGATTCTGCAGCACATCTGCACTGTAATTATTTCCGCTGTGCACAGGATTTTGTAGAAATTATAGAAAGTTTAAAACCGTAAAATTTTATACTAGATGCATTTTTACTCATTATGAAATTAGCCATTTCTGGTGCATTTTTAAGCCGATCCTCAGACACCCTGTATACATTACATTAATGGGGAATTGTCACTTCTTGACTTTGTATGTCGTCCTGGCCTAGAGTATACAATTGTGTAGACATGGTTCCCACAGAGAAAATACAATCATGATGGATGAGTGGCACGCGTTGACCAGAAAGCTTGAATGTGAGAATTTTAGATAATCTTGGTACCGTAAAATTGGACGCGAGAAATGCAACTTTTTTGACTTCTATTTAAAATTTCTGCTACGACGGTCATCGCCTTGTCGTTGCTTCTAGGCATTCCAGATCTTGTTTTGCCAATAATCGATCTAGTCTATTTAAATGTTTTCATTCATCTGTTTGGTGAATTCCCGTTGGAATCACCTGCAGCACCTGGCTGAGTTAGAGTCGGAAAGTCAAGGCGAAAAGTAAATTTTGTTCCCAAAATTTATGCTTTTTGGAAATGCGCAAGTGAAGCGGTACATACAAAGGAGTTGAAAAATGAGAGAAAGAAATAGACGACTCGTATAGAGGAAATCAGAGTAAAAAAGCTTAAGTAGTTATAGATTCATACAGATTTTAATTGACAGTTCTGTTGTTTGTCCGACGTCATTCATGAATATTCAAGACTGCTGCAAGAGTTAATTAACATGCTACTTAGTCATTTATATCGACATGCTTAAAGTAAGTGCGTACAGATTAAAATTTTTGCAGTAGCTGGCGTTTGTTATGATTAAAATGAAAATTCACATATATATCGACTGATTTACAACTCTAGCATCACGAGGGGTAACTATAAGTTCAGGCACTCTTTCCGCTGCTGTCCGATGCATCTCCTCAGTTTGTCTCCTATTGTCCTCTTTGCAGTTTCTGGCATATACGAAAAGTGTAGAGCTAATAATTTCGAAAACTGCAAAAAATGTTTATAAAATGCACGCCGGCTCCGCACGTTAATTCGTATCTCACGCAAACGACTTTTTCATCTCAAAGTTATTCCAATAGGGACTAATCAGTTTTACAGTCTTGACAGTGATAGGTCTGCGGACATTAGTCAGCTAAAAGGGTCATGGGGATCACAGGCATGATCTACAATTATGAACAGTGCAAAATAAGAAAGTAGAACATTATTTAATTTATACTCGCATCAGAATGTAGCAGATGAATATGTACAAATTTTTCGGCGATCATCCGGGTAGTATGCATTTTCCTCATCACTTAGTGGTATTTCCTAGAAAAATTGCATGAATGTTTCTTAGATACTTCCATTTACTAGGACACCCTATTTTCTCAAACTTTTATTTCCGAAAGGGTATTCCAGGTTCCATAAAATTTGCCTGAAATTCTGAAGACTAATTGGCTTACCTATACTTTCGATAAATTATTGTAAGGCTACTTCATATGGGAACGGAGTCAAATAAGGCGTCCCAGGAACCAGAGGAATAAAATGAAGTTCATATTGTGTAATCAGACAAACTTTAGCCGATTCATTTGATTTCAGACAGGTTTTACTCGAACGCGGTCCCATATTTATTGAAAGCAAACATATACTCGCAAACTAACCTGTTGAATTCTCTCATGGAAATATCCACTTGAAATTATTAGAAGGCTTGAATTGTTATAAGGTCCGAACGGTTCCAAAGTATATGTCGCGTTCCTACTCTTAAACAAATTCCTCAAGAATTTCGCGCACCAGGAATGCCTGTGGACGACTGTGCATGTTGACCCCAGTCGTCGATTCATGTTTCGTTTGTAGGATGTGTGGGGCTTAAAACTACTGCAATAAGAGCAGGATAATTTATAACAGTGATAAATTAAGACAGCTATAAAAAGTCCATATATGTTTTCTTAAGGAATCATGGATGTCCCGAGCATGTGACATAATTATGAGCAGTGTAATATCCGAAAATGTGATATGATTTAGTTTGTAGGCACGTCAAAATTCTCTGAATGATTGCATGCTACTTAAATATCACGTCTAGGGCGGCACCTGTTTTTTCGTCAATTTTCAGTGGTCCCTCTAAATGTGATGGTATTTATTAAAAGGCATGCACAGATATTTATTCCCGATGCTCAAATCATAGGACGCCAATGCTGAAATTTTTATCTGAAAGTGTGAATTATTTCAAGTTGCTAAAAGTTCGGTTTTAAGTTGTAGACAAGCCGCACTTTCATATTTTCCCACAGCTCCTCAAGCAAATCCCTGTAGGCTTCTGCAACGGGGCTCATAGGTTTCTTTTTCTGAAACTTTGACGGAATTAGAAATCACGAACAGACATTAATTTCGGACGACCACCTTAGAAGATTCTTCATCTTAAGAGATTTTTCTGTGAAGGTTTGAAGAATTTTAAGCTTAAAAAGTTTGCTTTAAAGTTTTTAAAAAGATGACAATTTCCCAAGGCCTCGTAAAAAGTTTCTGTAGACATCTGTGTCTCGGAAGTTTGCATACTGGTGTTTATGATTTTCTGATATAGATAGTAACCACCTAGAATCTATTCTACACAGGCTTCACTAGTAATCATATGGATGTCTTAAAAACATGAGAAGCGCAAACATTTTGCAACTTAAATTCATACTTTTCGAAAAATCGCATTTTGAAAAATGCGTAATATTCTTTAAAATGAGCATAGTGGCTCGCGTTTCCGTATGCCTCTTAGGAAGTAGGACTGGATGTGTACACGCGTTAAAAATAATTGAGTCGGTCGATCTATGGAAAATTGTTTAACTGCTTAAGCGACCATTTTTAAAAATGCGATATATACACATGGCTGGAGTCTTTTTCAACCAAAAGCCCCCCTCTGCGATCGTAGATAAAGATTTCCAGTATTCTAACTCAGTTTGAATAATATTTTTATTTTGTGGCATGCGGATTGCACACGGTAATATACAGTGAGTGACCGATCTCACGAAATGTTGGCTGAAATTCTGAAATGCGTTTTCGATTAGGAAGGATTACTTGGCCACGATTGTGATACTCATTATCTAGCGGCATAATCTTATAATATTTCTTATTTTGTCCGATGTCAGCTTTAGAATACATTGTTCTTTAATCTCCTTTAGAAACCATACTCGGCAAAAAATTACTACTTAAGCAGCATGCATTTTCCCATTGATTTTCGATGGTCTTGCAAATTCAAATTTATCTTATAGAAATCATGAACTTAAATATGTCCTTTTCAGTCACTTAATAGAGAACCTCGTCTTCTTTATATCTTATACTCAAGGAAGGAGTATAATTAGGGTTTTAAAAAATTTTCTTATTATGAGATTTTTTAAGACCTCGCAATGTTCATTCACATAGCATCGCACCTCGCCGTTTACCACTGCTCCTCATGAAATGTACAACATGGTCCGCATCCATTGTAAAATTTAATGGACTCTGTATGACATAGAAAAATATGGGATTTTTTTTACGCGGAACGCATCCACCTTGTAGAGTGTAATCACTTAGCGCTAATGCAGCGAATGATCAGGCTCCAAATTTTTCGGCAAATAGAAAACTTTTTAAAACCTAATTATACTCCTTCCCTAAGTATTAAATATAAAGAAGACGTAATTCTCTATTGATTGACTAAAAGAAATCATATATTTGTTTGTGGTTTCTATAAAATATATTTGAATTTCCGAGACCATCGAAAATCAATGGGAAAAATGCATGCCACTTAAGTAGTCATTTTTTACCGAGCAGGCTTTCTACAGGAGATTGAAAAGAAGTGCATTTAAAAGCCGACATCCTGCCGAGTCTAAAACGGTATAAGGTTATGCCTTAAGATAATCAATATCACAACCGCGACCAAGTAATCCTTAATAGCCGAATAGTGGTTGTAAAAATTGCTCCGCTTTCCACTTCTTTCTAAAGCTACTTTTTGTACAATCGAGCACTTAATCAGGGAACACCACGGTTGCCCAAAGAAGAACGCAATGCGATTAAGGGGGTTTTTGTCTGTTAAGTAATCCTTTTTATTCGAAAACGGATTTCGGAATTTTGGTCAGCATTTCATGTGATTAGTCACTGGCTGTACATGCATACACCTATAATTTTGAATTAGTCATTGTTGCCATTTCCTTATTTGGTTAAGAAAACTAAACAATTCGCTCGCATCAAACTGAAAACCAGGAAATCGGTTGTGCTCGCGCAGACAGTAACCACATGGCGTGCAGTTTTTAAACTCATCTAGCGTCTGCAGATACCTGTACCATTTCAAGGGGGCGATATTTCGAGGGTCAACAATTTTTCGAGCAGTTGCTTAGGTTTTGCTCAGCCTACAACAAGAATTAGCAGGTTCGCGAACCAAATCCTATCACCCTACCTCAGTGGAGCCTAATTAGTCTGCCCGTTCTGGGTGATAGAAACATTTTAAAGGAAAATGTGACTTTCTCCGACTAACAATAGAAATCCCCGTTTGCGAACTTTGCATTGGCAAACTTGCCGTAATGGGCCTACTCCATGAGGAGTTGAACAAAATGCGGAGTTTTGATTTTGCTTAGAAAGAATTATCTAGGTGATTTACAGTCCAGCAAACAGCCATAGTAATCTTTTATCCGCAAACGAACTGGGAAAGGTATTTAAAAATAGACATCCGTTGCTCTGTCACACGCGGAGGCTAATAATCCTTTAAAATATCAAAATTCTCATTAAATAGAGGTGTCAGAGTCTGTCGATGGATACTCACGTCGTATCAGCAGAGGAAACCAGCAATCGATATACCCTTAAAAGATCGGAGCTTCTAGAGCTAGTGGGTCGGGATCACAAAGTTGCTCTAATCACTCAACTGCTTCCAGAGCTAATTCTTGTACAGTCGACTGCTTTATCAATGAACACCTCAGCTATCCAAAAAACGTTATGCAGTTAATGAGATGTTTTTCTGCTGTATTCGGTCTGAAATATTGAGAAAGTATAGGGACGAAAATCTATCAAAACTGGTGACTTAACCGTAATTGCGAACAAGTATCTAACCTGAAACCTTTACAATTTCTGATTTTTTAAGTTCTTTGCCGCCCTTTACGGCCTAGGCTTTGAATTATAGTTTTTCTGAAAAATGAAAACGTGATTTATATGGACTTTATAAGAAGCTTGACGATAGTCGTAGTTAGTTATCCTAAAATATTATGTTTATTTGCTTATTTGGGACTCTTTGAAAAGAGGAACAAGAGAGGAAGGAACATTTTTCTTAAATTCAGTAAATATTGAACAACCAGTCGGTTTTACACATTATAAAGTCTGGAAGGTAAGGCTCCGCTTGTATGTCTGTGTGGTTTTACTTCATTAAGGAGAAACATAACTTGTTTGAACACGAAAACAGGACAGAAACTCGAAGTTGCGTCAGCTTTCCTGTTGGAAAAATAATGCGTGTTTTGTTCTAGAAGGAATATATCAGTATATTTCTTTCCTGTCATTCAAACGAGCTGTTTCTACTTTCTTTCGTTCCAAGTGCTCATTCAAAAATAGTTGTCTACTTAAGTCGTCCAAGTACAGCATTTTGCGCACTCGTTCTGGCCTTCTTAGGGCTGTTCGGGTTGATGTAAGGCACTTTTATTTGAGAAAATCGTTACTTTTAATTCAATTTTAAAATTATTGGGTGTATTAATAAAGCATAAAATGTGGTGGATGCGCAGCACTTGCAAGCGCCAAATTCACTCGAACAAAAAAGGATGATGCGATTTTACGACGTTGGTTACACCAGATATAAAGCTCTCCTTGGCGGATAAATAAATGCAGTAATAAGTATTCGTATAAAAGAGAACACCAACCATGAGATAATCCTTGGTTTCGGGCCCCGGCCTGGGAGGCCTCCTGCTTCATCCTGTTGGTAGGTACTAGTGGCTAAGGTGGAGTCGGAGAGCTTAGTAGGCAGCGGGTAGGTCTCTTCACCGGTCAACGGGATTGAAGTCGGATTTGCGGGTTTTAATTATTTGATGGACTGCACTGCTGTGGAAGCCCCCATATCAAACCACAAGATAAGTAAAGTCCAGGAATCGGATCCCGACTCGAGTAACCGGCAATTTAGTCCACCCCGGTCTACACTGAAGTTCGAAATCATCTGGGTAAGAGGAATGACCACTGAGGGGTGGACGGCTGGTCTCTATGTGAGAGCCATCTTTATTGATTGTCTTGTGTGGCTATGCGTTTAAGTAGAGTCGAAGGCGAACAATACACCTCGAAAATCGGGTGTCCTTCGTCCTTGTATGGACGCGGCGTCAGCATAATCACTTCTAACTATAGTTCGTTTTATGTGTGTGCATTGCTTTCTGTAACCAAAACAAACGCTTTGTTTTCGTAAACTGTGAGGTCATTTGCGAGACGGCAGTTTCATCATTTCGAGTGTTTGAGCAAGCTTCAGGAAGCCGTTTCAACATCAAAACCCAAAGCGCTGGTGCATTTAAAAGAACTATTGATTAGCGCTTCTCACTTTCGAACAGTTTTTGAATGCTTCTACAGCTAAGTATAACTAAAGGCGCGTACTTTTATTTTTTAGAACTTCACATAATTCAAAATGTCGAAAGGTGAGTTTTTTTGCGTTCACCTTTATTTAAAATTACAAATTTACCGAAGTTACGCCTTTCTCTCGCATTCCTACGCTATTGACTTAAAAACTACTAGTTTTATTGGAGTTAAAGGAGGTTCACTTTTTAACAAGAGTGCTTCAACCGGCTAGGATTGTTAATAAACACATGCTTCTGAAAGACATATTCAACTAACCCTTTGTTTGGGCTCATGCTGAAACTTTGGATTGCAGACTTGGTTTCTAACGAAAATTAGTATGACATTGACCACACCATCAAATATACATAATGCTCACACGGAAGGGCGACGTGACTGCTCTAAAGTCCACTCATTTCTTTAAGTCTGCGCTTGGAAGTTTAAAAAGGAAGACAGACTACTGAATGCTTAATCGTGATCTAGAGCCTCTAGTCGGCTGCCAGTTAGGTTTCACCAAATACCGAGGTACCGGTGACTACTCTCCAGCTACCAACAACACCTAAAACGTGAGAGCAAATGCTGGAAACTACTATCAGGTTCGTGTGAGTATGTGTTCGATGGGGAACTAGCTGCTGCCAGCGGCGTTTAAGTAGAATAACCCACCAGGTTTCGTCCTACATGCAAATTAGGGAAAACGTTTGTCGGATAGGGGAGGGATTGTATCAGCCGCCGGAAGTTCCACAGCAATAAGGGCTATCCCTCTCAAATGAGTGGTGTATCACCTGCACGCGGACAGTTTATTGTGTCTCACCTAAGGCTAGGTTAGGCATTCTCGACTGCTGGCGAGTCGTAGAACCCCGCTGGGTCACAGATGGCGCCGGCCGGGACAGCCTTCAACCCGGTTTTTATTCGCGTCTTAATGGGATATACAACTCCTCTCCTACCCTAGCAACAGGCACCTAGTTCACTCCGGTTTATTTCATCGGTTCCGCATGCGTAGGACTGACTTTATGTAAGAAGTTGGAATATATGCCAAGAATATCCGTTCGAAGCTTGAACTATGTTCATAACAGAAATCAGAGGAGTAGGTGGCGAGCATACGCAGGTTTCGATAAATTCTCGTCGGGCCAGTACAATTATATGGAAACGGGGTAGAAAGCTAAGAAATGCTACGAAAGCTACGTATGTTCGCCACCTTGTCTTTTGACTATGCTCATAAGTTGCCTTCTTGACTAGTTACTCGGAATTTTTGCCAATTCGAAACGCGAATGCATTATTTGGGTCCTCTACACGCCTCAGCAGACCAGCTAGATCAATATTGATGAGAGCTTGATGAGGGTGACTGAAAGTGCTTATTGGCGCCCGATAATAACCGAGTTACTTAAAGTGATTTAACACAGTACTAATTTTTGCAGCATAAAACAAACTTTTTCTGCAGTCCTACAAAGGGGGTTCTGTCTACTAATTTGGTAATACCTTAAAGACATTTTTATTTATAAGGAGACGACTAAATCGTATTTAGGGTGATTCTTGCATCAAAAAACCCTCAATCTGCCTTCTAAATTGATAATCAACGCCGCAGAATTTCCACCTTTAACCCTAAGCCCCCTTGTCTGATTATGCAATACTTAAGTGAGTCCAGAACTTAGTAACACTTGCCATTACTCGTCTCAAGGCACAGACACTTAGAAGTTATCCTTTTCTCCTTTATTCTACAATATCTTTCACCAGAGCTCCCCACAGACGGAGTAGGTATCGTCCGAGCTAACAAAGTTTCCATAAAATTTACATCAACCAAATGCACGATAGTGCAAATGAAAGCAATTTCTTTCAAAGAAATTTAACACTTTGATCTGATGTTTTTCTTCACATTTACAGGCAATCCAAAAGCCGCAATGAACGCATTCAAGGCGATGGACAAGGCCGCCAATCCGCAAGGTGTCAAACCAAAGTGAGTTAAAGACTGTAACAGGCATTTGATGCAATTCATAATGCATAAGAGAATGAGTTCTGAGAGAGAGAGGCAGGCCATTTGCAGATTCTTTAAGTAACTGCGAATTCTCCGCCCCAGAGAACGTCAGCCACATCTGATTGGTTAGATCTGATCGGTTACAGTGAACAGTTTAAAAACGATCTGCATAATAGAAGCAAAAAGGCAAGTTCCAGAAAGTAGGGGACGCGATCGCTGGAACGAGAGATTTATTAGCCTGACGTTTCGGGTCCTCCCTCGAGTCCATCATTCATCATCTGACTCTGTCTCTGATAATGGATTCAAGTGAGAATCCGAAGCGTCAGGCTAATAGAGCTCTTGTTCCAGCGATCATGCCTCTTTCTTCGCAACGGCTTGAATACTGCTCGCGACAGTCTTACGCACTTCGACCTGATCCCGCTGAAGGCCGTCTTATTTGTGCACACTGTTCCTCGTTCAAACCGATTTTGACACATATGTAATTCCTTCAAAATCCAACAGTGGTCTAGGCTGAAAGTTGGCGGTCCTCCGTTAATTAACTGCTCCAAATGGCCTGAAATCGTGTGCTCAAATGTTATGCGGAATTAAGCGCGACCTGTGATTGGCTCATTGTGCTATGACTAGGGTATGTAGGGCGCAGGCTTCAAATTGAGTTCGCAGTCGTAGGTAGTGATGCTTGGCAACGGCATGAGACGGCCATTCCACTCAGTTTGTGAGTTCGGCAGAGAACCAGTCGTATCCCTATGCAGAAGTTCAACGTAAGTGTCAGCTGTAGTTCTGTCATTTATGCCCATGTAATTGGATTTTGAGCGCAATTATTCGATCAGTGTCTTAGTCACATGCCATGTTTTCCGACTTCAAGTGCACTGCCTACCTATCAGCGACTTTTGACTAGGTGGTTGTGATCTGGAGGCTACCTTACGAAATCCTCATAGTTAGCGGACCACGACTGAAGCACGCCGGCTTAAGTAGCCTAAATGTTTTCAACTGTTACAACAGAATGAACACAGAAGCAAGAGATTGTTGCCTCTAACTAGGCGCATGCAAATCATTATTTTACTCTGCATTAAATATTTCTGCTTTATTATGTTACTCTACTCCGACATTATTCACTTATCAATATGTGTATTAAACAACAAATGATCTTCAGAGAAGGATATCTGTGTCTGTTTTAAATTAGGATGAAAGCGTTGTGCATCGCAAACGTAAAAGTTGATACGACCTCCTATGCTGAAGGTGGGGGGAGATAGCAGATCGGTGCGTTTTCAGTCGGTTGGGTTACTTTTTGTTGATTTTGGGTGGGACCAGGGACCAGTGACTGTCTAAGTCGGCACGGGAATTCCTACCACGCCAATTGGCGTACCGGACCTCGAGAAAATCTCCCATTCATTTTATCTCAATCACGATTTTAACTCCGGTATTATCCCGGTCAAATTCATGGTTGTCCGGTAGTGCGCAATAAAAGCCGAGGGATAAGAGTCACCCTGACGGACATCTAGATGTAATCGTTAATGAGGGGAACCAAACCTCGGCTTGTATGACCAAAATATATGCAGAAACAGTCGGCTCATGGAATTCGATTAAATACGTTCGTCTGTTGCCCTTCGCGTCAGGGAGCCTTTATTTACCCGCCCAAATAACGACCAGTAAATGGTCCCTATCTGCTTTAGACTCGAATGAAGGTATCGTTAATTAAAAAAAGTGCAGCATGACTCGGAAGGGTTTCAATTCAGTCGTAAGGTGTTCTAAAATTATGCAGAAAAAGAGTACTTATGTGTAGTGAGACCTGGATGTCACAATGTAGATTACCAGTTCAACGTCCGGTCATTTTACAGAATGCAAGCAGACATGCATAAATTAGCGAATACCGATTCCCTGGCCTGCCACGGTAGAGAAGTTCCGAGCAGATGTTTGAGGTCACAGGCCGGCAGCGACCTGTAAGGCCGATCTCGGCCAAGATGTGCTAGCGGAGAGGGTGACGACATAAAGTACGGAGTTGAATGACACAGAACTGTTTTGGATCTGCTCCATCCTGATGCAGTCGAGCACAACCCTAACCACTTCCCGAGACCAGAAGCACAGTGCTGTGATAAAAGAAAGTAGAATAGGCTCAAAACAGGTCTGTATCAAAAGAGAAGGAGGCGTTCACCGGGAGAGGTGTATTGGAGGTCTGACGTTTTGAGTAGCTGTTTCTTCTACCCATCTTCAGAGGCTTAGAAGTCATGCACACAGCTTTCCTCATATGGCGCACTCTGAAGATGGGTAGAAGAAACGACTACTAGAAACGCCTCATTTTCTTTTGATGTGCTACCTGGGAATCAGATTTTCAATAATATTGAGGTTTGTATCGATCTGCCTACATCTCCACCGGCAACCTTGTAGAGGCAGGTACGCTAGTAAGACGTTACCGAAGGTCTCCATCGGGTCTGGTTGCGTCACTGCCCATGGTATTCTCTTATCTATTTTGGTTTTTGGTTTGATACGATTCATCGCTTCCGCCTTGCTTAAACGGGTGGATATTATTACGTAGCCGTACCTGCAGTAGGAAAGTCGCAGCCTAACCCCCAACCCCTGACCCTTAACCTTAACCCCTACCCCTAATCCCTAATCCCATCCCCTAATCTTAACATTTAACCCCTTACCTCAACCCTAGCCCTAACCCCTAACACCAACCCCTTACAAGTACGGCTACGAAATAGGATCTTGCCGTTTAAACATTCCCCGACTCGTGCATTTTCACAAACATGTCTTCCCAACATCTCTTTCGCGAAGCAGCTCAGACTATAGTACTGCTCTTGCTTAAGTCGCAATTTTTACCTAACTTGTGCATCAGAACTAACCTATATTTAATTGACTACTCGATTATGAGATCTCGGTGACCTTGGCGGGATTCAAAGGTCCGCCAGAAGGAACAGGGCCTCAGTAAAACCAGCGCTCTAGCCACATGAGCTAGGAGGGGCCTGATTTTTTTTTTTACGTTGAGACTACGTTACCCGATCAAATATATGATTGTGGAAGGGACATACATGTTCTCTTACTCCAGCCTGCCCAAACAATCACAAATTCAACTTGTCTGGTGACGTTCAATCCAACGGTCCACGAAAATCTGCTTTGACAGTCAGCCTACTGAATTAAAATTGATGGATTTAGTAGGCTGCTGTAAGTTAACCGGGGAACGTAGCAAAAATGTTGAAAAATCTAGGCTCGCGATCGGATTTCCGTGGCTAAGATGGTTGGATGCCTGACCGCGTGCACGCTGTGCCCTTTCTGTCGCGGCTCTGATTTCAACTGATGCCGCCTAGTTGTCACAATTCGGTAGCCTGCTAAGTCTCTCAGATATATTCCTAACTTGCAGCTTTTTTCCCACCTAACTCCAAAAGTGTTATTTAAAACGTCCACAATTTTCGTTCCGAAATTGTTATACATGCAACAATCGTAACTTCTCTTTTGAAAGTTCCTAATAATACGAGTACGACTCAACACCAGTAAGCTGTACTTGTCGAGCTTAAACTATTGCCTTTACTTTCAGTTTTACGACGAGACATGGTCCCGGACAGGCTGCCTCCGCAAAGGAAACCATGCTTCATTGGTGCCAACTAGTGACCAAGGGTTACGAGGTGTGTTCACTTGAGTGCAATTTCAGCCAATCATATCTATCCTACCCAAGTCCGTAGTCACCGAGTATCTTTGCTTATCTCTCTTGTTTCCACGCTCGACCCTTCCGTTCTTTTCAGTTGTTTTCTTCCGCTCAAACGCTCAACAATTTTCTTATTGGGTCTGAAATTGAAGAGTAGTAGTTAATTGGCAGTAAATGAAACGAACGCCCGAAATCGGTCCCTTATTTTGAGCTGCAGTAGCGGTTTTAGAATCTTTCTGAATTTGCTCAGACTGCCGTTAAACAACAGGGGTACATTCATGTGACCTGAGACTAAACCTCAACAGATAAATCATTACGTTTACTGACGGAGATATCAAAGCACATGATCGTCACGAATTACCGGGGGGACGCCATCATTTATGCAGGCAGGTGAATCGCCATATGACTTGATGCGCTCTGGCACAACCAAAAAGTACGGTATTTTGAAGTGAAGTTAAAAAACTAACCAAACATCGTCAACAACGATGTGGGGATTCGACGTAGCCGGAAGTTAATTTGTCTGAAGATCATAACTGCTGCTGCAAAAAATCAACCCTGGAATGCGTCGCTTTGGGTTTTTTTATCGCGAAGACGTCACGGTTCGATGCTGGTATGCCCCCACAGAAGGCCACGTGGCATTAAAGTGCGTCGGGGCTCGATTCTGCGCGAAGTAGCTGCCTACACTCAGAGAGGCAACGGCAGCTTAATTCTGCTTGTGGCTATTTCTGCGGTTCCTTGCGAAAACCTCGTCGCCTCGGGTCATACTGTCTCAGAACAGTCTGCCTCGGAAGTGAATGGGATATCGCTACGACCTATCCTCAGCGAGTGGCAGTTAGGCCCTACAAATCCATCCGCACAGATTTTAACATGATTACCCTTTCTGCCTACGTTAATCAGATACACAAATGACCCTCATTTTAATGACAATTTCATGTTTAGGCGTGAATAAATGTCGGATGTACAGAATTGAAAAACACTACTCTCAGTTGCCGTCGGAAACCCTGCATTTGACAGAAGGCAACGTCGGTAAACTAAGTGTCCAGTCAAAACATGAGGTGCCAAAGTAGAGTATTGAGTTTTCATAGTTGAGAAATGCTACCCCCTCCCCATCAAGGCTGAAGAGTTTTTTACGGAACCGTCTAGGTCAACATGGAGGTCAACGCCACGCGAATTGGAGAAAAAAGCCTCGAGAAATTCTATCGCTCGTTTTATCTCGGCCATCGTGACGTTCATAATCGATGGTCGCACTGGAGTTCGTGCGCAAAGACGAGGGGTCAGGGGTCACGCAGACGGACAACCTGTTCTGATCGTTAGTATTAGTGGCCAGAACTCGGCCCGTAAGACTAACATATACGAAGAAACCATTATTACATGCGACGTGATAAGGTACGGTCTTTTAGGCGGTGTGTTATTACCGAAAAAGACAAGAGAGATTGGAATGACCATTTCTGGCTTATTAGCCGTGGTCAGCCAGTCATACCCAACACCGAAGTTTAGAACACCCGAGGCTCGAACTCGAGACCTGTTAGTTAGAAGTCCGCGCCTCTAACCACTGGGCCACGAGCCCATTGCCATGTCGGTTAAGATCGGGAATATACAATGCGCCGCTGTGCGGCTGTTGGTTGGGCTCGAGAGAGAGCCCGTAAGGCACAACTGAACGAGTGAGTTCCGTAAGAATGATCGATGAACGCCCCCTACCATTGTACGCTCTTTTGTTTTTCTTTGCCTTTCGGAGCTTTTACTTGAGATAGTACTGCGCGCAGTAAGAAATGACCTTGTGGCCAAGGCGAATATCAAAAAGAAAGAAACTAGGGTTCATGCGTTGATTGCTTTGCTCTAACCGATATCCGATCAGTTTTGTGAAGATCTGACTCAGGCGTCAGACAACCGCAAGGACCGATATCCGGTAGGGGAATAGTACCGTGGAAATTTGCCCGAAAAATCTGGAGTAACGGCTCAGCAGTTAAATTGTTTGGTATCCTCATCGGTCACAAGCCAGCATCCTCAGAAAGCAATAACGACAATAACAAGGCGGACTGGTTTGGCCCTAGTAGTTCTCATATTTCAAACTAGACCTTCGGGGTTCCTAAATGTAGTCATGCTTTCGGAAATACAGATGCTCTTAAACTTTAACAGCACATTGTACGCAGAAAGTATTATAGCATATCTTCATATGCCATGGTTGCGATTTCTAACAGTTCATTTATTGCACGTCTGCAGGGCGTTGATATCAAGAATTTTGGCAGTAGCTGGGCCGACGGCCTGGCCTTCTGCGCACTCATACATCACTTCTACCCAGACGCCTTCGATTTCAAAACTCTGGATCCCAAGAACCGAAAGGAGAACTTTATTCTTGCATTTGAGACCGCCGAGTACGTTGCTACACCATAATCTGTTGTTCAGATTTTACAGACAGGCTGGAGAGTTGGTTGAGCAGTACTAGGATGAGCGGTGGATGTTTTTGAGGAAGCTGGGGTGATCCACCGATATGGCCGCTGAAAACCACAAACTTCAAATTCGGAATCTAGGCAGAGTAGATGTCAGCTTAGCAGAGTTACCCTGTCTAAGCTTGGCTTAGGGCCCTGACTCCTTAGGCTTAATACATGCACAGTGATTGACCGATCTCATGAAATGTTGGCCGAAATTCTGAAATGTGTTTCCGATTAGGATAAATCACTTAGGTGGGGTTGTAAAATCACTTAGCATGCGACATATTCCTATAATATTTCGGACTTGCCAGGACGTCGGCTTTCGAGTGCACTTCTTTTCAAACTTCTGTAGAAAACACACTCAGTAAAAAATGACTACTCAAGTAGCATACATATTTTGCATTGATTTTCGATGGCATTATATATGTAAACATATTTTATAAAAAAACATGCCCAAAATGAACTTTGTTCTACGCATTCGGTAGAGAATGACGTTGTATTTGCATTTTATACCCGAAGAAAGGTATATTTAGGTTTTAAAAAGGTTTCTAATTATGGGACTTTTAAGAGCCTGTGATGTCCATTCATGTAGTATCGTACCTGTCCGTTTACCAATCCTCCCCGTGAAATATGCAACATAGTCTGCATCTATTGCAAAAGTTTATGAACTCCATGTGGTATCTTCTTAAAGGCATAGAAAATTGTGTGATTTTCCTTACACGTAAAGCATGCACCTCGTAGACGGAAACCGCTTAACGCTAATACAGCGGTGATCAGGCTCAAAATTATTCGGGAATTTGGAAACTTTTTCAAAACCAGAATATACTCTTTCTCTGGACATAACGTGTGAAGACAATGCGATATTTTACCAAACAAGTAAAAGAAAGCGTATTTTATGCATGTTTTCTATGAAGTATGTTTAAATTTATAAGACCATCGAAAATCAGTGCGAAAATGCATGCTACTTAAGTAGTCACTTTTTCACTGAGTATGTTTTCTACAGAAGGTTGAAAAGAAGTGCACTCAAAAGCCGACATCCTGACAAGCCTGAAATATTATGGGAAGATGCCGCAAGCTAAGTAATATTACATCCCCACCTAAGTAATTGATCCTAATCGAAAACGCATTTCGGAATTTCGGCCAACATTTCATGAGATCGGTCACTCACTGGATGTTAAACTGATACAAGCAAGGACTAAGTATATGCTCGTGGTAGGAAAAGGCTAGCTGCTAATTAACAAATTCACCAGCGTTTTAACCCTTTTGCTTAAGTGGGAGCCCTATGCACATCATCCAACAGTATGTCGAGTATTTTTTTACTACTTGACTGCCCTCCGCGCCCAGCCTTTTTTTAAAAAAGGTAAACTCTCCTCTAACTAAAGAATTACGTGCGTGCAGAACAATAAACCAATGCAGAAACTTCAACAGCATCGACTCCTCCTGGGTGGTACAGGTCAGCGTATGTCATACTGCAGATGAAGGGCCAACCAAAAACTCTACTGAACAATGCCTACTTTAAAAAATATTGCAGACAGTTCTTCGTAGTTTTTCCTTATCCCACATATATAGTTAACCCTTACCAGATACAGTTAGTATTCTATATGCGTAAAGATTCGAGGTCCAGACATTGTATCGCGTTCATCATCTCCCGAAGAAGACGAAGAAGAAGAAGAAGAGAGGGCGAATTCATGGACCATATTGTATTCGAACGGACGTTTCGGAAACTTCCTCGTTTCCATCATCAGAGTAGCGTAATTGTTGCACTTGCGGGTCTTGAATTATTCAGTCTTGCCGCTTGTTTCGTATTATAGCCGTGCTGGACGCACAAACTTTGACCTGCCTGTTTGCCGCTGACTGGCTTAGACCTCCCCGGAGCTGACCGCTGATAGGCCTGCGTGACCTTTGTTCCCTTTGGGGTCGGCTTAGTTGTGGTCAAATCAACGTGCCGCTTGGGCCCTTCCACGTCAGCCGGTGGACTGATCGGTCGTTGCTGTTCAGGTGAGCAGCATTCAGCTTCGCGGGCGCATCGGTGAGACAGTGTTCGGCTTTGGTCACATGACCTCTGGCCCCCAATTCCGCTCTTTTCCCTGAGCGCTGACTCTCGGTCCCGCGTGCTTGCTTGCCTTACTGGTCCTGTCCGGACTGATCCGAGCCTTGTACGCAGTGCTTGGTAGGCGGGATGTAGATCTATAGCTCGGTTGATTGTACCAGTCGAGGATGAGTTAGTATTCTTCATCCAGCGGGTCAATGTTGATCACCAGATGGACAGTGCGTGAGTCTGAACCCGTTTGCACGTCGTCACATACTGACAGTTCGAGCGTCTATGCTCCATAGGTGGATGGGCATAGAGACAGCAGCTTGCGCGCGGATGAGTTTATAATGACAGTGGACTTGCACCGCATTCACCTTCACTCACCGAGTCAAGAATACCAGAGGCGGGAAATGGCACAGGTGGCTGCCACAGCCTGAACGCACGCATAGGCGTGCCGACACATCCTCTGATCCGCGCGCAAACGACCAGGAGCGCCTTAAAGGCCACAATAAGAAGGAGCCATTGCAACATGACTTCCCGTTTTAAGGAAAAGGCCGGGTTATCTCGTCAGTTAGCAGTTATCTGAGCCACGGTTTTCAACGCACTGCACTACATTCATGTGCGTCAGGGTATTTCTAGCGATGAATATGCACTGAGGGAGTCAATCCAACTCTCTCCTCCTTCCCCCAGACATTAGTTCGCTGTTAGAGCCTGTCAGCCAGGTGAAGAGGGGATTTGACGAAGTGTTTGGTAGGGTTAGGGAATCCGACTTCACGTGCCACACACACGCCATCCGATCCCACATAACACACCAGGCTTGTGCACAGAGGCTGGGCTGTTCGGGTCTCACATTCGCGAGAGTGCCCTAGAGGCAGCATCAAGTGGCAGACTGACTTTCAGTCCACCAGTCGGCCACTGAACACAGTCATATGCAGGGCTGAATGGGAGGGCAGAGTCGAATCGTTGGTTGGTAACCCTCCAAGCCACATCTTTCAGCGCATCATGACAGACTCAAGCGCGTTGGACTGTTTGTGGTGAGGAAAATGTGCTGCGGGTCCACCTCACTCCTTCTCTCTTCCCCGTACACCAGTCCATTGTCTGAACCACTCAACCAACTAGAGCGACGGGAGCTTCGCTCTAAGCATGATCCTGCTCTCCGTCGCCTGAGCGACATGTCGACTCTCCGGCAGAAGAAAAGAGCATTTTAGTTCAGTCAAATATTTGCGAATCTGGCGCATTGTCATCAAACAAGGTTACATGACTTGGCCTTCACTTACTGCTCATGTCAGACTGTGAGAACGTTCACCTAGAGTTAGACCCACGCATCCTATGAAAATGTATGTAGGGTTGTCGTAGCCTGCATCATCACGTCGCACTCTATGTGTTGAACAGATATATATATATATGATGGAGCCGACAAATACAAGGGAGACCGGAATGGCCATTTCTGGCTTATTAGCCGTCATCAGCCAGTCATACCCAACCCCAAGTGTGGATCACTTGAGATTCGAACCCGGGATCTTTGGTCATGGAGTTTGACGCTCTACCATTGAGCCATCTCATCTATGTCTACTACTAGTCGCTGTGCGACTGCCTGCGAGGGTTCTAGTATGAGCCCCAAGGCACAACGGAACGAGCATGTTCCGTAACCTGATCGGCGAGCGCCCACTGTCATAATATATATATATATATATATAGACACTGTTATTTCTGACAAAGACAAGGGAGACTGGAATAAGAATTTCTGGCTTCTAGTTATCTTCAGCCAGTCATACCCAACCCCGAAGTGTGAAACACTCGAAGCTGGAACTAGCGACTTGTTATTTAGAAGTCCACGCCTCTAACATACTGCTTATATCATGCGCCGCAGTGCGGCTGCTGGTTGGGTTCGAGAGAGAACCCGTAAGGCACGACGGAACGAGTGAGTTCTGTAAGAACGATCGGTGAGCGCCACCTACCATCATGTATATCAGAATCTACATGCGGACACTGCTTATTCATAAGAATGTCGCGCAACGTACACATAAGCTACGCTGTAAAAGCTATAGCAGTGCCCCTTACCTGGGTCCTCATTCCACTCAGATTCGAGCACTCTGAATGACTTCAGTGAGGAAGCAAGTTAGAGGCGAATGGCAAAAATTATGCCCGGAATATTAGAGAAATGAGGTTTTTATCAGCTCTTCTCCCTCTGACCGACGATGAATCACCCGATAGACTTACCCCCAGGAAGTCTGAAAATAGGGTCGGCTTCTTGGGCGTTGCCCCACTTGGGTCACAGTTCAAAGGAAGTCGGTTGCGGGAGAATGAATATCATTTTTGACAGGAAAGTAAGCCTACAGTGGAAGCTTTCTGACGCCTCCGGAAGAGCGCCCAGATTGCAAAAGCTGATAAAATAAAGGGTGTGGTGAGAGTCATGAGAAGCAGACGTTAACAACGACCAGTTAACAATGCATTGCAGGAAGTGCAGTCAGCCGTAAGGTTCTCAATTCAAAAAGCATTGTTTACTCATTTTTTTTCTATTGGTACTACATGAACCACGAACGTCAGGTATCTATCTCGTCATTTGAAACCCGAGTTCTCGCAGAGTTAATAAAAAAGCTTGCTTATGAGTTCTTAGTGTGTAGGAATGTCACAATATTGTCGAGGCGTCCATTAGGGCAAAGCTAATATAAGATCACTTTCATTAATGAACATATTGAAGCCCTTTAAAAGGTCTGTCTGACACAACCCTTCTGAAGGGGGGAACTAAGGACTTACTGGAAAAGCCCAACTAAATACCAGCAAATGCCTCAGCACTCCTACAGTATATGTGCTAACTCGTGAAATTTTAACCGAAATTCTGGAATACGCTTTTGACTTGAAAAGGTTACTAAAGTAGGGTTATAATATAAATCACCGGGCAGCCTAATTCAATAACAATTCAGTTACATCGGGATGCCGGCTTTTAAACGAACTTCCTTCCGACACCCGCAAAAAACCCCCCTGTCAAGTTGCTTACTCAACTAGCATGAATTTTCCTTATTGATTTTGGATGTCCTTATAAATTTAAATAAATTTTATCGAAGACAGGATAAAAACATATATTCTTTCACTGATTTGCTGGAAAATTAAGTTTTCTTTGAGGAAATGGTATAATTTGCTTCCAAAAAACGCTTTCAATTTCCGAGTAACTTAGAACCCTGACTGCCTTTACACGTGCATTCAGGGTTGCCAAACCACAAGTTTTATAATTTCCGTGTACGGAATACCTCATGTTTCTCTACGGTGTTGGTAGGAGACGTTATGAGGTTCATTGAATTTGGCAGTAGATGTGAGCTATATTGCAAACTAAACAAGCAACATTAATAGATGCGGAGACACGAGGTTTTTATGAACGGGCATTGCGCGGTCTTAAATGTCCCATAATTATAAACTTTTTTAAAACCGATTTAGACCCTTCCTTCGAGTATAAAATTTCAAGAAGACGTAATTTTCCACCAAGTGAGTAAAGGAATGAATATTTTTACGCCTGTTTTCTATGGATTATATTTTAATTTATAAGGGCATCCAAATCACTGAGAAAAATGCTTGCTACTTAAGTAGTAATTTGTTTGCAAAGTATAGGTTTTACAGGTGACCGGAAAGAAGTTCGTTCGAAAGTCCTCATCCTGAAGTGAGATATTACGAGATTATGTTGCACGATGGTTGATATTAAAACCCTACCAAAGTAAACTTTTCAAGTCGAAAACGCATTCCAGAATTTAGGTTAACATGGTCCTCAGCAAACCCAGGAATTAAAATCAGTTTCTCAAATGATCATTGACTTCATCTCAGCTGTACTTTCACTAGCCCAGAGGGTACGGCCGTTTTGACGATTTTGTTTTGTACTACCCGTGAGTACTGTGCGTTGACGAGTTTCCCCTTCTTGTTAACCCCCCCCCCCCGCCTGACAATCAGGAAACTCGGCAACGTGTCTCCCCTGCTGGATGTGGAGGACCTGATGCGAATGAAGGTACCAGACTGGAAGTGCATTTTCACCCAAGTCCAACTCTACTACCGGCGTTTCCAGCTTAAGGGCGGACAAGGAGCCCACAAGCCCCCCGTCAATCTTCTCCCCCAACCCCACGCCGCACCGGCTCCAAGTCCATCCTCCTAAAGGAAACCCGCTGCGCACCCCCCGTACCCACACTCCGAGGCGACCGTCCCAACTCCATAATCGACATGCCTCCAGCAACCTACACCCCAACCCCCGGCTCTGCTGCCCACATACTCGTTGGTAGTAACCGAGGCAGATATAAGCCAAGGCTGTTTGCACGCTGATTGCATATGATTTTCTAATCGCTGCTATAGAAAGCAACTTAATTCAGCTCGTATATATATATATAAACATGTGCATGCCCAAGCTTATATAAGTGCATTAATCCACACAATTTGACATTAAAAATCACGTCTTAAGAGATACGTCTGTGTTCTTTGTTTACTGATAAATGAAAAAGTTACTCGAAATCTAAGCCTCGAACTTGTCAAGGAATTGCGACCTCAAACACCTCCTTCCTGTGAAATCATAAAAGGCCTTGAAAATAGATGCTTCGAGGTAGAGTCACGAAAATTCCCACGACGGCGTTTAGAAAACCAATTGGCGCGCATACGTTTGCTTCCTATAAATTCTCATCAGGCCAGTACACTTATCTGGGAGTGGGGTAGAAGTAAAAAAATGTCAGTGATAAGAGAAGAACTATACCTTAACTCGGTCGGATAGGGGAATATGGATCACCCACGTACTACGGGTGCCCTAACATAAAACGTAACTCTATCGCACAGAGAAATAAACATACCTCCAATCCTAGCTCCCCCATCCCCCCTAACTTTAACCCTAACCTTAACAGTAAAATAATGCTGACACCAACACGAACCCTAAATCGAAACCCACTGGAATTTAGGGAAGGGCCGCCTATAACACCGGAATCCATATTCCCGTGTCGAACCGCTCTATTTCTTGGACATTTCATCATTTAGGTGCAGCGAGTGACCGATCTCATGAAATTTTGGCCGGAATTCTGAAATGCCTTTTTGATTAGGAAGGATTACTCAGGTGGATTTGTTATAATGATTATCTTGCGGCATAATCCTACAACAGTTCAGACTCGGCAGGATGTCAACTTTTGAATGCATTTCCTTTCGACCTCCTGTAGAAACCTTTCTCAGTAAAGAACGACTACCTAATTAGCCTGCATTTGTCACATTGAATTTCGACAGTCCTATAAATCCAAGTATACTTCATAGAAACATGGACAAAAATGCTTTTTTTTTCTCATTGGACAGAGAATCATATTATCTTTATATTGTATACTTTGAGAAAGTAAAATGAAGTTTTTAAAAAGTTTCTCATATTCAGATTTTGGAAGACCGTGCAATGTACATTCACACAGCATCATACCTGTCCGTTTACCAACGCTTCTCATGAAATGTACAACATAGTCAGCATCCATCGCAAAATTTTATGAACTCTATATGGCATCTCTTTAAAGGCATAGAAGGATATATGATTTTCTATACACGGAACGCATGCGCCTTGTAGACTGAAATCACTGAGCGCTAATTCAACGGCTGATCAGACCCCAAATTATTCGGGAATTAGACAACTTTTTTAAAACCTCATTATACTTCTTCTCAAAGTATACAATATAAAGATAATATGGTTCTCTGTCCAATGAGAAAAAAGCATTTTTGTCCATGTTTCTATTAAATATATTTGAATTTATAGGACCGTCGAAAATCAATGTGAAAAATGCAGGCTAATTAAGTAGTCGTTCTTTACTGAGTAAGGTTTCTACAGGAGGTCGAAAGGAAGTGCACTCGAAAGTTAACATCCTGCCGAGTCTGAACTTTTGTAGGATTATGCCGCAAGATAATCATTATTGCAAATCCATCTAAGTATTCCTCCTAATCGAAAACGCATTTCAGAATTCTGGCCAACATTTCATGAGATCGGTCACTCACTGCACAATCGCATTCGTGCTTACGACTTGCGTAACAGATTTCCTGAAAAGTGCAATTAATTCCAGCTGCATCTTGAACTCGATCGGGGGATGCACGTGCTCTCTTTGCAAGTAGGCCGAGGCGATTAAATTAACAAACGAGCTGGGGACGCTCATTCTGATACCCCCGCTGAATGAATGCCCAATCTGAATAATTTTTCCCTCCCTCTTACTGACCAAGCCCAATAGATGTCACGTAGTGTTATTGAGACAGAGTCGTGAAGCACTTATTCCACCCTCTCTTCCCGCACTCACATTGTCCTGGTTGCAAGACTCTGTCAAGCCGTCCGGAGACGGATCCGGTTGCAGTAAGTGACCAAACAAAAAACCCGTCTACGCGTGCCACGCACACGACCTTTCCCAGTTGGAGGTATGCAGTGCAAAAATGATAGCGGCTCGGGTCTTACAGGGGTGAGAAGTCCATAAGGACGGCGCCAAAAGGGAGCGACTGCAACCGGTCATGCAGCCCTTCAGTTGCTAGTCTTCCAAGCCAGACCCCTAAATCTTCGCGATAGATTTAAGCACAGCATATTTAGCATCAGTGTGAAATGTGCTGATTTGCCGTGGGAGTCTACTTCCAACTTTCTGCCTCATTCGCTTTTCCCTCTTCTACGCACCTGCTGGCCGTCCGAGCCTGTCAACCAGTTGGAACCCCTCAAGCAGGGCCGATTGGGCATACAGTGGATGACGAATTCCATGAAATGGCATGACGTTTGCCGAAGCCTGCATGTTACAAGAATCTTTGACTGCAAAACGCAGTGCGAAAAACCGTTATTCCTGCTGATGAAATTAAACACTGTCTCAGGCTCGCATGAATTCTCCAACCCCTGACTATCTTCCTCAACAAATACTCTGTGCTTAACTGAACAACCTACGAGCATGTGAAAGACATGCTAATGGGAACTAGAACGGCCATTTCTAGCATAATAGCCCCGTGGACCAGCTATATCCCAGCCGGGAGTTTGGATAGTTTGAAACTCCAACTCGAACACGCCGGTTATTGAGGCTTAAGTCTAGTACTCTATCACTGAGGCAGTGGCCCTTCCTTTTGCTGATTTCTGATCAAATATAGTACCAAGGATGGAGGGGTGATCGCCAATAGCGTTACGGAACAAGCTCACCCCGTTTGTGCTCAGGGACTCAATTTATTGTCGTCGCTACCTGCATCACATGCAGGTAAAAGGGAAACCGACAAAAGCAATGCGGACCGAGATTTCCGTTTCTACTTTAGTAGACGTCGTCGGTCAGCCACACCCGACCCAAGGTTTGCGGAATATGAGGTTAGAACCCCGGTGCTTTGGTTACGGAGCCCTTGGATCGTTGTCCTGTTAGTGATTGATTGTGTATATTAACTGTGACGGAGGTGCTGATCGGTAACGTTACGGAACATGCACTTCCCTTTGTACCCTGGACTCCGTATAGAAAGGATCTTGAAAGGCAAAAGCGTAGCAACCATTACTGATCTCTGACTGGGACTGTCAGTTCCAACTTATTTGCCGTCGCCAGCTAGCGATTTTCGAGCCCGGGCTTAAATATTCTGAGAGGAGTATGTTATACAATCTGACCAGTAAACAAAACAGTTCAACTTGTAAGTATTCCCGATCACTACCGACTGAACAACGCGTACGTGGTCTGACCGTAGGACTTTTAGCTTAACGCTCACCCCACAAAGAGCACGGGAACGAAACCTGAGATACTCAAACTAGAGGTCGGGCCGCGGACGTCTGCTGACGTCTAAAAGGTCGGAAACGAGCTCCAAGACGAAACGAGACGAACATTTGCCGTAAGTTGACCTGGAACCTGCTCGCTCTCGATAGTAATCTGAATATCGTGTTATGCAAACCAGCGGACAGCTCAACTTACCTTTCGGACCAATGGAAAAACAATGGGTTTTTTGAAGAATTGCAATTTTTTTATTTATACGAGGTAAATTTTACCATGAAATCAGTATATCTACTTATTTTTGGATCAGAATGGGCGACTGAAAAGACTGATAGGTTCCCTATTTGTTATTCTTGCATGGAGCGTTATCTTCTTCTTCTTCTTCTTGTTCTTCTCCGCCGTAGCGATAGAAGTTTAATTATTGATGGAGATGGGTTTTTCGTGATGACCAACATTAGTGGCGGAGGGCCGAGAGACTTTCCATGTAATTAGATAGCAAATTTATGTCGTTTCATGACAGTGTGCATGTTACTTGCGCCAGCAGGCTAGCTCACTAAAATACTTTCCGTGCCAATGTAAAAATAAATATACCACGGCCTGGCAAATGCCCCAAAGTAATCGTTTTTCCAAATTCTATAATTGCATTAAGGGCAGTCTCTACCATTAATTTGGTAAAGTACTTTTCTGGTCGTTTTGGTTTTACTGCTGAAAACTTCGACACCGCAACCATACCGTAACACACACTCTCTCTGTCTGTGCTGTAAATCTGCGATGCGTGCTCCTAGACGGAGTCTGGACTGGTTACAGAAACTGCGACGACAGAAATGGCTAGGTGTACTTTTAGTCACCACTAATCAAAATGCCTACATCGATATGCGCACGGATGCTGCCAGCTACAGATGAAAAAGACTGCGTCCGGGATGCATTTACTTGAACATCCGATATGCGTTAACGAGTTAAAAGAATGACTTGAGTGGGTTTGTAATACCAATTAACTTTTGCATTGTCCTGTACTTTTTCGAACACGCCAGGATGCTAGCTTTTGAATGCACCTTTTCGGTCGATTGCAGAAACCAAACTGGGTAAAAATAACTACTTTATTTGTATACAACTTCTTTATCAGTTCCCGATGCCCTTATAAATTTATAAGTATTTTATGGGAAACTACATGGAAATATTTTTCCTTGAATTCATTTAGTAGCGAATCACGTCTTCCTAAAACTTTATACTCATTTATCAGCCTTGAATGGTATTTTCTTAATGGGATAAAGAAAGAATAGATTTTCCTGCCATCGAAAGTACACAGCTGTTAGACTGAAAACCCTAAACAAAAATACAATGAAAGATCGGGTTCACAATTATTTGGGGATGGAAGCATAAATGATTTGCTGCAAAATGAATACAAGAAATCATATTTCTATGAAGGTTTCTTAAAACATATATAAACATTCACAAG